CCTAGTCTGGTCTTCTCTCCCCCTAGTCTGGTCTGACTTTTTGGAGGCCACAGCCAGTCCAAGGGCTGGTGGAAAGCTGATGTGGCAGCAGTGTCTAGTCACCTCTAATTTCAGGGAGGAGAAAGTCAAAGGTCATCAGCTTCAGTCACTTCAGAGGCCAGACATGACTCCTTTCTAACCTTTAACCTTTTTATCAATTCCGACACCAACCCTCCCCTCCCCACTGGCCCCTCATGCAGGATTTGATAATTTGGTGTTAGGGCCACACTAACATCACTATAACCATAGGGCTTATTGGGGAACGAGCAACTTGGAATTTCGGTTCAGAAATGACTCAGGGCAGTTTGAACAGATAGGACCGCCTCTTGACTGTTGGCACAGGCAGGTCTCTGGTCCACACCTGCTAACCTGGCCTTGGCTCGGACAAGTGTTCGAAAGCTTTTCACGGCTGATACAGTGCCCAGAGCCCCCTGCTCTGTTCATAAGTCTTGGCTCAGCTTTATTTTCTTGAGTTGGCAGCTAGCTCCCCTGACAAGTGCCCACAAGCACCCATTCTGCCAGCAAACCACCTACCCGAAGGCACTTGGCTCTCTCGCTCCACGGGCTGAGAAGCCCCTGGTCTGCCAGGTTGGCCTCTTCTGCCTCTTGGCTGTAGCTGCTTGCCACCTCCAGTGTCGCAGCTCAAGCCGAGGCATTTTCGGGAAGGATCTCAGGTCCAAAGGATGCACATCACAATCTTCAGATATCGAGGTGTCCTCGCCCCAGCCCCTTCTGCCTCTGGGATGGCCCCTTTTAGGCCTAGTGGAATGACAAGACTGACCAATCCTCACGCTATGGGTTCATGTACCATATTTGCATGGTCCCACCCTTACATCAGCAAGCTACCCCGTTCCCTTGGTTGACAAGCATCACACTTGCATAGCCCCACCCAGTCTGCTAGTAGCCACAGATTGGTCCGGAGGACCGTACCAGGCAGCTCCCTGTGCCCCAGGAGACCCACGCTCTGGCTCTTCTAGCCACGGGCCCTATCTTGAAGGAGGAATTCCCACTTTCAATCTTAACACACCAAAGAGTATAAGCCAGCTACCCCATGCATTGTCCCCTCCACATCTGACCCCCCGCCCCACCACCATTTGAGAGACAATTTCTCAATTACCTGTGCCTATTTGGAGTGCTGGCAATAATCTGAGTAACACACCACATGACTAGGTGCAGGCACACACCCCAAACCCACCGTCCACAAGTTGATTTTGACTCAAAGCAACCCTACAACCCAACAGGACAGAGTAGAACTGGCCTTTGGGTACTTGAGGCTCCGTCTCGGAACAGACGACCTCATCTTCGCATAGGGAACTATTGGTGAGTTCAAACAACTGACCTTTGGGTTAGCAACGCGATTATGTAACCCACTCTGCTACCAGAGCATTTGCACGACGGCCTTGCTAATAGTTTAAGTCAAGGGCATGGTACCTTGCGGGTTGGGATTGCGCAGATAAGGTGAATCGGCCATAGAACACTAACAAGATGGATCGTTTTCTCCGCACTGTTAGGCTTACAACGAGCCATCCCTGAGGTGGAAAGGAGTGGGTGGGGACTGGGGGGAGGACGCTCCGCAGAAGGACGGGCTGGGGGTGGAGTCTGGCTCTTAGTCCTGGAGACAGACAACAATCACACCAGAGAAGGTGAGAGACCTTGAGCAGCAACAGCCAAGCCAGAAGACGAGCCAGGACAGTGCAGTGGGCTCTCCGGCCCGTGAGTAGAAGGCTTGGATGTCTTTGGGCAGGAGGCTTGCTGGGGAAGTGCACCTGCCTTTGAACACTTCAAGGCAGAGTTAAAAGTGCTTTGACCTGGCAAGGACAGGGCCCAGGGCCGGCTCGAGTGGTACCCAGAGTGGCTGAGAAGAGGTGGTCTGGATTGAAGAACTGTATCCTGATTGTTCCCGATCCTGAATTTCGAGTTCTGCGT